TGTGCAGTCACAAGACTGTTACATTAAGCTAATTCAAAAGTTACCACCAGTACAAAGACTCGCATCACCCTAAGAAAAACAAGCTGGAGTTAAGAATTCATTGCTTTTAGAGCAATCATGACTGAGTCACATCGAAATTCTCAATAGTTGATGTAGCTTCAGTTTAAGCTACAATCCATGCCACTTCTTCTTCTTCCAGATCTGGATCTGCAAATCACTATCCGTGAGAATTTATAATCGTCCCGCCAAAAATGCTGAGGAGCTGGGCCCAGTGTGACAAAACATTGCAGGAAAAAGTGACATTCATGGACAAAAAGAAAGTGGCTTAGAATTATTCAGATCCAGGATGCACTTTGGAGAAATTAAACAACCTAAAACCCTTTTAATCAGCCGCAATGAACAGCTTTACATTTTAAAAGAGGTAGAAAATCAGTATGTGTGTCACGACCTCTTAGTATGAAATAAGCGGCAAAAATTCACATTTGCTCAGTCAAAAGGTTTTCCTCCGAAGCATAATCTACCCATCAGAGAAAACAATTCGATAGCTGGAACAAGCGGTATTTTGGCATGAGGTACCAACCCCCCCTTTTTTACACTATGTAAGCACAATTAAACATTACTGATCAATCAAGCATTTTTTGTTGTTGTTGTTTTTTTTAACCTTATTTTTGCACTACTTCTGTTTTTGTTTATTTCTCATTATTGAAAAAAACTGTCCATGGACCCGGTCCATGACGGGGGTCCATGGACCCGGTCCATGAAAGTGGTCCATGGACCCGGTCCAAAGTGGGGGTCCATTGACCCCTGGTCCATGTTTTTTCTCACCCCTCATGAGCTGCAATGATGTCTTTAAGGTTCATCCCAGGACAGCAGAGATTTGTCCCTGCTTCTGGGAGGATCTGTCCCCACATCGTAGCCTTGCCATATGTATAAAGGGAATCCAAGACAGTCTTGGATCCTGAGCTGTGTATTCTGGATTCCAGAGCCCAGGATTCCGGAAACTTTAAGGAAAACTTTCCCAAATTTCGGACTGGAATCCGGACTCCCCTTTTAAAGGATAAGTAGGCTGGGATGCCTCTTGAAAATTACCCCAGCATCACTAAAAGGAAGTTAAGCCTTACAAATGTGTCATAAGCCAAATTAATCCTGACACGTTTTAGCAGAAATTTTTGCTCATAAAGGTGCACGAGTTTTCTTGAACGCCGGATATGTCAGATACAATATAAAAACAATGGAAAGGGGCTACTCTTTCTTTTTTATACGATTTCTTGTACGATGTTATGTCCGATTTCTTGTCCAATTTTTTTGTTCGATTTCTTGTCCGATTTCTTGTCCGTTTTTTGTCCAATTTCTAGTCTGATTTCTTATCCGATTCCATGGCCGATTTCTTGTTCGAATTTGCGATTTCATGTCCGATTTCTTGTCCGTTTTTTGTCCGATTTTCTATCCGATTTCATGTCGGATTTCTTGTCCGTTTTTTGTCCGATTTTCTGTCCGATTTCAAGTCAGTTTTTTTGGCCCGATTTTATGTCCGATTTCTTGTGCGATGTCTTGTCGAATTCCTGTCCGACTTGATGTCCGATTTCTTGTCCGATTTCAAATCCGACTTCATGTCTGATTTGATGTCAGTAGTGGATAAGGCACCTGTTACGCCGTTTTTTTGCGGATTTAATTCACTTTTTGTGCGTTAAATTAACGCAGATGACGTCATGCATCTCATTAAGATAGGATGATGTCATACTTTAAATTAATGCCGATGACGTCATGCATGTCAATAAGATAGGATGATGTCATAGTTTATTTTTAGCTGGCTGACGTCATGCATGTCATATAGATAGGATGATGTCATAATTTATTTGTAGCTGGCAAGGAGCAAGTGACAGTAGAATTTCCTAGAGTTGACGTCATCGAAAAATGTTGAGATCATAATCTATAAACAGAAAAGTGATTTTTTATATAATCAGCTATTTGCGATAGTTTTCTCATTGGATATTGTAGAAACTGTTATGTGTTCAAAATAAAAGCGGGCAAATTTTCAACATGTTATCTTTGCAGATTATACTAAATGAAAAATCTTTAATCATTAAATTTTTTTCACTAAAAATCGGTTATAAACAAAACTAAGACACGGAGGTTAACTAAAAAATCTTTACTTCAAAAGAAGGGAAAAGGAGGTTACTAGGCGAATGCTAAATCGTACTAATTTTTCAGGCAAAACATGAAAACGTGGTCGAAGCTCAGCGAAACGAAAAACTGCCTATCAAGCAAAAATGTCAATCTTTGTTTACTTGACTCTGTAGAAAGTATTGCACAGGGTATGAAAATTCTATAGAAAACAACAGGTGGTTCTAAAGTAAACCCTAACTCTTTTGGTTCTTAAATAAACCCCATTCTTCTTCCTAATGAGTGGAAAGTATATTTATAAAAATAGGAATAAGAAGTTCGGATCGCCTAGCAACACATGTCTTCTTGTTTAGCGCTAAAAATCGGATATATAAACAAAACACACACACACACACATACACAAAGTGGAGCTGAAAACTCTCTATTTCAATTTTGACTCACCATTACGAAAGCGTTTTCTCCGTTCCATCTCGAGGAAACGACTAACTATCGAAGTCTCAGCGCTTGAGGAGCTTATGGTCGCCGTTAGTCAGTTAATTATGCGGGTTAACAAGCCCAATCTTGAATATAAATTAGTTCATCTCTACAGCTAGACCCAAGTAAGTACCTTGTCTTATTATTGTAAAGACACAAAGAATTAATAACTTAACAAGAATCAATTAAAACACGCGACAAATAAATTGACAAGACACGAGATACAGTTTAAAAACTTTATTGAAAACCATTGACAAAAAAGTCGAATACACAGCGATTTGAAAGACATGGAAATTAATCGTCTTCTTCGCCCATGGAGTACTTGTAAGGTCTAACTCGAAATTTCTTATGGCGAGTTCGTTTCCTCTGTTTGCCTTGAGCATTATGATCATCCAAATAATTTACAAATTGAATCCGACGCCTTTTGCGCTTCGGGCCTTGTGATGGGGTTTCTACTGTGGGAGCAGGGGTCAGGAAACCAGGATTTAAGGTTAGTGGTGGGGTGGAGCTTTCGGTTTTTAGGTTTTTGTAAGATAGCCGCTTGTGTTAATTTAGGTGTTACGTTGAAGGGGTTAATGGGAGTGGAGAATGCTGCCGTTGCTGTCGAAGAATCTTGTGTGCTTGATGTTGGAACAGTGCTGATTATTTCTTCCGGTCGTGTTCTTGTATTTAATTGTTCTTTAAAAGCCAGGTATCTGTTTTGCAACTGAAAGTATCTCTTAGCTTTTTCATCGTCCCGAAGATCGTTTCGAGAAAGCAAGTCATCCATGTTGCCCTGTATTTCTTGCATAGCTGGAAGAAGTGGGGCAGGCGAAAGATTTTTGCTGCTTTAGATATTTTAAAAGTTCTTGAGGAATATTTTCTTGAAACCCTGCATGGTTAAAACCTTAACTTCTTCACTGGGCAGGACGTTTGTTCGCAGTCGACAATTATCTTGGGTAGTAGTTTTCAGATCAATCAGCAGATAACCAAAAGGTCTTTTTACAGCCTCCTCGTCCTGATTTAAAAAGAAATCAGTTTGCCCGGGATACATTTGCTTGGTAAGAGTCAAGATTTCCAATTTGTCTCGTGGGTTCTTGAATAACACCAGATAATGGCTGTTTAGGCTTATGCTGCGGCTACCTTTCCCCTGATGAAATAGATTCTGCACGATATAAATCACGCTCAGATTGCGATGATGAGAACCACGAATAAAGAGGTTCACAATTCGCTTGTCTTTTTTCTGGCGTCAATCATCTGATCATCAAACACGATCAAATTCCGTTTGTTCACGTCAAAATAGGAATCCTGATCCAAAGCCGTAGGAATTCCCTTGACGAATTCAATGTTTGGTATGGCGACTAACATTTGTGTGTACGCAGGATGCCATTGTGAATAACACCAAACGATCCTCTCCTGGGGAGGGTAAATGGTCTCTGAAGCTTGTTGCAATAGCGATCGAACCCAGGCCGTTTTTCCCGACCCGGTCATTCCGGCAATCATGGAGGTGAAAGCGTGCTCGAAGCGAAACCGCTGACATTTCTGTGAAAATATTGGAACTGTCTGAAATGGGGTGAGACCAGCATTGCAGTGTTTAGACATCACGTGCCTTTGCATATTATCTTTTCTACTAAAGGATTTTTCGCAGACAGAACAGAGCCAACTCATGTCAACTCCTCAGGAGTAAAATGTAGACTGAGAAAGAGGTAGAATGTTGCGCATTTATATAGGTTTTCAGGCCACAAAATTCTATTGTTTTCCTCCCCTAAAACCACCACTACCACCACCATCACATTTCTATTGCTTTTCCTCCTCCTCCTCATTTCTATTGTTTTTCGTCCTCCTCCTCCTCCTCATTTCTATTGTTTTTCCTCCTCCTCCTCCTCCTCATTTCTATTGCTTTTCCTCCTCCTGCTCCTCCTCATTCTATTGTTTTCCCTCCACCATCACCACCGCCATCACATTTCCATTGTTTTTCTCCACGACAGTCAATAAAAGACCGCAAACTACTATCATAAGTTCAGTTTGTCGCAATGTCTCAAGTTGTCAAGAACAATCGTGGTTTTCTTCAATTCTTACCTGTTTGTCCAGCTCATCAGTGACAGTTTCTTTTACGGACAGCCAGTCCACAACGACTACATGCATTAGTCCAAGTCTTATACAATATACTTAAGGAATACATTCTTATCCCCGAAGAAAATAAGCGGAACGTGTTGCCATATAAGGATGCTCTAGTAAACCTAGCAGAAACAAATGTACCTTACAAAACAAAGAAGCGAATCCTTGTACAAGAGGGTGATGGTTTTATTCAAGACCTATTGGTACCTGCTGTTACAAGCCTAGAATTTTTGATGCTATAAAAGAGGAAACGAAACTATAAGTTACTCATTTGAAGCTACGGTCTGTCACGGGTACTCATCAAAATGAAGAGAAAGATAGATTCGGTTGAAGAAGAACACGAGAGTGAACATGAAGAAAGTGAAAGTTCCGGTGATGAAAGCGAGGATGAAGAACCAAGAATAAAAGAAGAACCTAGAATAAAAGATGTTTTGAGTCATCTTTCCCGAGCAGTGTCGGAAAAGCGTGCTTCTGATTTGCTGCATAGTATGGCCGCGTCCAAAGATATTCTTTTCTGGAATCCCAGCGGACAATTACTTCGAAATAAACACACTATTCCCGTCACAAACATCGCCGAGCTAGTTGAGTATGTGTTACTCCCACTAACAATGAGGTTACCAAGCCTCGTGCGCTGAATACGTTTCTAGATGGACTTGCAGAGTTAGGAATCGATAAAGGTTTAATCAAAAACGAAAAGTTGTTAAGTGATTTAATAGAAAAGGAAAAAGGCTACCGAAATGTAGAAAATACTTCCGATAATGAGAGTAATAATGAGGAGAGTTCATCGGATATTGAAAATCAGGAGGAGGAGGAGGAGGAGGAAGTTGCTTCTGAGAATGGCGTTGAAACTGAAGGGGCACCCAAGAGAGCGACAACGACACTAAAAACGATAGTGAGGAAACAGAAAGTAGTAGCCCTGAAACGTCCACCACCTTACACTCTAAAAGTCCCTGTAAACGTTGCGAAAACTCTAATGTGTACTCCACATTGATCATGAAATGTCCTAAATGCTTTTGGCACGATAACTACAAGATTTGTCCTATATGCGATCACCAGATCCCCGAGGAGAGAAAATACATCAAAGAGGGCTTTCTTCGGTGTCACAATTGTGGATTAATTACACACAAAGACGCCAAGACGTTGGAAACCAATTTTTATGCATCTTCTAAAGAGGAGAACGAAGAGGAGGTCTAATTTCCATCCCTTCCAAATCGCTGTGTATTTGACTCTTTTTGTCACTGGTTTTCACTAAAGTTTTTAAAACTGTATCTCGTGTCTTGTCAATTTATTTGTCGCGTGTTTTAATTGATCCTTGTTAAGTTATTAATTGTTTGTGTCTTTACAATAATAAGTCAAGGTGCTCCCTTGGGTCTAGCTGTAGAGATGAACTAATTTGTATTCAAGAAATTGGGCTTGTTAACCCGCATAATTAACTGACTAACGGCGACCATAAGCTCCTCAAGCGCTGAGACTTCAATAGTTAGTCGTTTCCTCGAGATGGAACGGAGAAAACGCTTTCGTAATGGTGAGTCAAAATTGAAATAGAGAGTTTTCAGCTCCACCTTGTGTATGTGTGTGTGTGCGTGTTTTGTTTATATATCCGATTTTTAGCGCTAAAAAAGAAGACATGTGTTGCTAGGCGATCCGAACCTCTTATTCCTATTTTTATAAATAGACTTTCCACTCATTAGGAAGAAGAATGGGGTTTATTTAAGAACCAAAAGAGTTAGGGTTTACTTTAGAACCACCTGTTGTTTTCTATAGAATTTTCATACCCTGTGCAATACTTTCCACAGAGTCAAGTAAACAAAGATTGACATTTTTGCTTGATAGGCAGTTTTTCGCTTCGCTGAGCTTCGACCACGTTTTCATGTTTTGCCTGAAAAATTAAAACGATTTCGCATTCGCTTAACCTCGTTTTCCCTTCTTTTGAAGTAAAGATTTTTTAGTTAACCTCCGTGTCTTAGTTTTGTTTATAACCGATTTTTAGTGAAAAAAATTTAATGATTAAAGATTTTTCATTTAGTATAATCTGCAAAGATAACATGTTGAAAATTTGCCCGCTTTTATTTTGAACACATAACAGTTTCTACAATATCCAATGAGAAAACTATCGCAAATAGCTGATTATATAAAAAATCACTTTTCTGTTTATAGATTATGATCTCAACATTTTTCGATGACGTCAACTCTAGGAAATTCTACTGTCACTTGCTCCTTGCCAGCTACAAATAAATTATGACATCATCCTATCTATATGACATGCATGACGTCAGCCAGCTAAAAATAAACTATGACATCATCCTATCTTATTGACATGCATGACGTCATCGGCATTAATTAAAAGTATGACATCATCCTATCTTAATGAGATGCATGACGTCATCTGCGTTAATTTACACCGTACAAAAAGTGAATTAAATCCGCAAAAAAACGGCGTAACGTGTGCCTTATCCACTACTGACATCAAATCAGACATGAAGTCGGATTTGAAATCGGACAAGAAATCGGACATCAAGTCGGACAGGAATTCGACAAGACATCGCACAAGAAATCGGACATGAAATCGGGCCAAAAAAATTGACATGAAATCGAACAGAAAATCGGACAAAAAACCGACAAGAAATCCGACATGAAATCGGATAGAAAATCGGTTGGATGTCCGATTTTTTTGTCCAATTTTTTGTCCGATCGATCCATGTCCGATGTCTTGTCCTATTTCTTGACCGAGCTGTCCGATTTGACGTCCGTTTTTTGTCCGATTTCATGACTGATCTCTTGTATGATTTTTCCTCCGATTTTATGTCCAAACTTTTGTCTGATTTCTTGTCGGATTTCATGTCCATTTTTTGTTCGGTTTTTTTGTCCGATTTCATGTCCGATCTTTTGTCCGAACTCACCGGATAGGGCTTCTGATGACCCTTAAAAACGGTGCTTTCGGCGGGATTTCTTTAACAGAGTGAAGCCTCGCCATTTTTTGCGATCACTCCTTGTTACATGCGATTACCCGAGCTCATTTTTGCCGAAATTCTTGTTAAGCCCGGGCTTAATGGCTTAAAGGCAGCTACGCCACTGGCCCCGATTTCTGAAAGCCCGATTAGCGCTAATTTTGTATTTACCCCCCGAGGGGGGGGGGGCGGGGTACTCCGAATTTCAAGTGGCAGGTATGATCATCAAAGGATTTTTTGGGGTTTGAAGAAGAGAGAAAGAGGCTTGATTCAAGCAGAGACTTTTTGGGGGTATTCAAAAAAATCTGAAGATTCGTGATAGTTCCCGCGTCTCATGCGATCGCGTAGTTCTTCTGGAAATTTTTATGAATCACAGAGAAATGCTTGTCAAAAGATAGTTTGGTATGTTGCTGACTGCTTCACAAAATCGATTTACAAAATCGAACAATGGATCGGAAAAGGCTTTTTTCTAAAGCCATGAAAATTTTTTAAGATCTGAACTTCGAATAAAAATATTCAGGTCTGTGATCCTTCTATGAATAATAATAAAAAAACGCATTCTAAAAATTGGTTTTGGACGAAAAATTGATTGCCCCGTCTGTGACCCGCCCCGAACATTCCCACTTTTTCCTAGGTCCCAGCCCTACCTCGGAAAGTAAAATTTTAGCACACACCTAATATGGTAATTTCTTCGGCAGCCCCAAGCAGAGAGCACAGGAAGGCACATGAACAGTATGATATGAGTGTGTGACAAAAACGGTTTGGGATTGTCGCCGTGACTTTGGCCATATAAAAGGGGATTATATCCTTAATCGACACTGTAATCGGTCGAAGAAGCCATGGCAGATGAATCCGCGGAAATGGAGTCAGGTCTCTTAGGTAAATCTCGTAGTTTCTACGCCATTTTTTTCACCACACTTGCGGCGCACTTCCGTAAAGAAACCCAGTCACTACCATATCATTTTGGTTCGTTACCGTTGCCTGATTTTATTTCTTTTTTTATGTGATCACGTCCTTAGAAAATGTGCAGTCGGCTATCAGACGAAACATAGAATTATCTTTTATCAAGAAAGTGAAAATAGAATTCAAGGGTGATCGCTCAGAAGGTCGCATTTTGGTAAGTACACATAGCGTTCCTACTATCTTCGACGTCTCACTTTTATCTAAAGTGATATCGCTGTGTTTTCTGAATGAAACGTACAATTAAATGCTTAGATTGTATAACAAATTTTCTAAAGATGCATTATTATGCAGTATTCTTTTGCACCTTGGTGTATTCGTGATCTGTATCTTCTTTGCTGTCTGCCAACCGCTTAATTACGAGTCAAAACATTCCTCTACTGTCAATTGTCCGCTCGAACAAAACAACTCCATAGGTAATGCATTAAGGGTTTCTTAGGAACGTTTGATCCCAGGGAAATGGCAGAAAACAACAACTGTTTAATTAAAAGTGGTCTAAGCTCTCTAAACTTTCTAATTCTTGAATTGATTGCAGCCATGTCTAGGTTCAAGCAGATTAGCGTGTCTACGTTAGTAGTTGCTTTAAGGGTCATTAGATGATCTTGCTAAGCTAACAATATTATGAGAGCTTGTTGGTTGTGGGGTGTGTTATGTGTAAATTATTAATAATGGGTCAAACTAATTTCTTTGGGAAATGAAAGCTCAATTCTCATTTCAGATAATTTTAATTTTTCCCGCATCCATCTCGTGTTTTTGTAAATATTTTCCCAATGTTTATTGATTTCGAAGTTCGATATCACAGCTAATGATTCAATTATAACCCCGGAAAATAGTATTGCCTGTGGGAATTGTCGTCTTCCGTTTTTAAAAATGGAATTAAGCAAAACAGAAGGGTGAAAAGTGAATTTCATTTACTGTAAATGGAAAACAATTCCTTAGAGACTGGTCCATATAGAATGAATGATTTATTATTAAGCTTTTATAATTAACATTATTNTTGTTGGTTGTGGGGTGTGTTATGTGTAAATTATTAATAATGGGTCAAACTAATTTCTTTGGGAAATGAAAGCTCAATTCTCATTTCAGATAATTTTAATTTTTCCCGCATCCATCTCGTGTTTTTGTAAATATTTTCCCAATGTTTATTGATTTCGAAGTTCGATATCACAGCTAATGATTCAATTATAACCCCGGAAAATAGTATTGCCTGTGGGAATTGTCGTCTTCCGTTTTTAAAAATGGAATTAAGCAAAACAGAAGGGTGAAAAGTGAATTTCATTTACTGTAAATGGAAAACAATTCCTTAGAGACTGGTCCATATAGAATGAATGATTTATTATTAAGCTTTTATAATTAACATTATTTTCAGTTACCGTCGTCTTCAGTGATGACATGCTTCATGAGTCAGTCGTTATGAATTTATTCATGTAGAAAATTTTCAGATACACAGTCCATGTTGTAATAATATTGACATTGCTTTTCTGTCAGCAAAGCAAAGTTTGTCTTGTGTCGTGGGTCAGTCAGCTTTTCCTCAGGCAGTTGTTTGGTATTTGAAAAGTCCTTTGGACACTGTAGATGCCCACAATAGGCCAGCCAAAATATTACATTGTCAGACCTGCCATACCCCTGATAAAGGAAAGTCTGAAGAGACTATACAAAAGTAGTGAGATTCAATTTTTTTTTCCTGATCGAGTGCCAATCAAGATTTCCATTGGGGGAATTAAATGTTTATTTAAATGCTACCTTGCTTTATTTGTAGTCCCTGTTGTAAGAAGATGCCACTTTATTTGATGACTCTAATAGGTCAGCACTAGGATGAAACAATAGCAAGGGGTCATTTCCGGATAACAGGGCTCTCACTGAGGGTGAGGGGCCGGACATTTCCCCCAGCTTCTATGAGCACAACCCCTGGCTACTTTCATAGGCAGTAAAAGGAAAATAAAACCAAAAGGAGTACTTATCAGTTCAATTCCTTGCCTGATATTCCCAGCAACTTGAAACCTTAGTGACAGCCCTACGATAAGCCAACTTCATGACCAAAATGTTCGACAAAGTGGCATAAAGGCTTAAACATTAGCTACTGTCAGTTTTTTTAATATTTGTTTTTTTACACATTTCTGAAAAGGCACTCTTCCTCTGTATTTCAGAATACTTTTTCCTTAAAAAACCGTGACATTGTGAGACTTGTCATTAAGCTGAGAAAATTGTGTGCAAGTACCCAAACCTCAGGCCCCAAAAGCCTCTGAAAGTTGTTTTTTTACATAATTCAGGGTAGATGCTTCAGTTGTTTTGCAGGTAACATGATAAAACTTTTAGTTAATAGAACAAAATTTTAATAACCAATTCAGCATTTTCTGTTTAATGTTAGAGATTGGACTGTCTCCACACTAGCGGGCCACCAGTGAATAATATTGTCTTTTATTATATACTACCATAAGTTAAAAAGTCTGACTTCATTGATTTTGCGAGAAATCATCAAATTCTTTTGTTTCTGCTTCAAACTAAAGAATGTCGACCTGTTTTTTGCATACACTGTACATTATTAGTCTCACTTGCGTAAGCAGCGAGACTTATAATCTGCAATGCATTTTCACATTTTTGGTTGTATTTTATACACAAATAGGGGGTCATTGTGCCAGGCGTTTCTAGCAGAGACCGTGGAAACTGAGACTAAGAATTGTTGCCTGATTGAAGTCACACATGTTTAGGAAAGACTAAATTTAGAGCTTTTCCGAAACATGTCAGTCCACAAATTCTATCACTTCAAAGCGTTGATTACTTTGGAACAAGTGAACACTACTGAGTAGTTGAATAAAAAAAAAAGAATCTTAATTAGCAAAACTGCGATGTTCACGTGTTCTAAACTTTCATGGGTCTTGTGATGAGAATGCAGTATATTTTCGGCGATGATTGAAATAATGTGCCATGTAAATGACTTTTTGATCTCTTGCAATGATGTTATTTCTCTGGAATCGAGACCCTTGAATTTTCTTGTATTTATACATGTGTATACACTGAGCCTGTGGCCGCAGACGTATTTCTGGTCATCGCTAACACGCATACTAAATCTGTTCAGAAACAAGTAAAGAGTATCCACGTCGAGAAAGTGGAAAGTAAAAAACCTTTAGCGAGTAAATCTAATTAATCACCTCCTCATTTCTTGATCTAATCTCGAAGCGAGCGAGACTGAATGCCGATGCAAGTGCGTTCTTGTTTCAAGTAAAAGTAGGGGAAATGGCCAAAAACATACAAGACAATGTTTTTCTTCTCAATAAAAGGTTGCATTCAAAGATTCAGGCAATTCTGGCCATAAAAGAAAATCGACTTAAGACATGACATAAGACAGTTATCTCTTTATTATCGTATTTAACACTTGATTGTTTTTTAAATCTTAGGCCCTTTCTGCACACAGATTTTATGTCCTTACCATTTCCAAGAATGGATGTAAGGTACAGTAATGCAGTTGATGTTGTTTAAAAGAGTATCATTTATTTGCGAAGTGTTTAGTTACACTGCGCATGAGTACATGTCAATGTATTAGTCAGTTCTGTCACTAAGATTTCTTATTCCTGGCTACAGTGCAGCTCAGATATGAGTGACCAACGCACACGCAAAATGTGGGAAACGAAAATGAATTGAATGACTGGGGAGATCTTTTGGTTTTATATCCTCTTTGTTGCCATGAAAGTAGCTGGGGGAAGCCCCCGGCTCCTACCAGCCCTTAGTGGCAGCCCTGTTTGTAAAGTACGTGATAATTAAGGCATGTTTTGTTGTATGTGGTATTTGACATAAATTGAAATGCAATCTTGGTAAATGCTTTGAAAAGATTTCTTACTACAGTTGATGATGGTCTATCATCAAATATGACCATCAGAGTGGTAATCTCCCATTTACATGCAAGCCCCCCCCAGAAAAAAAGAAAAAAAAAAGCAACAACAACTACACACACATACACATGCATGGCCTCTGCATTAGCTTTCCATTGCTTTACTCTTCTGAGTTATTATGAAGACCCACATGTGACCTGTACACTGATGAAAAGAACAAAACATACATGTAGAATGAAGATGATGTGACCTGAGGGAGTATACCGTCATGGTCATTTCTTCATTTAGATTTGTATTCTTAATGTTCACATCATCTTCACTCTAATATAGACAGGGCTTCTGATATTTTGCGCGGTCGCGGACCCGCGAAATTCAGGTATTTCTGCCAAATCCCGCGAAATTCCCCAAAAAACGCGAATTACCGCGAAATCCGCCGGAAATATTTCCAAATACATGTCGGCAAAACATATTTAATACTTATCTTGGTTATTAGACCTGTTTTATTCACCCCAAACGTCCAAATTTATCTATGTCACTGCAACGAGTAAACAACGTCTCAAAACTGCCAGGCGTTCTTAGATGAATGTTGCGAAAAACTGGGCACTAACCATAATGTTTATAGCTTTAGCATTCGCTCATTTCTCGAGCGAACTGTTGTTGAAAGAGCAAATGATCATCCCTGTTAAAAAAATGTTAAACAACGCTGGTCATATCGACGCAAAATTGATCGATTTTAGCGAAATTTCCCCCAAAAAATCCAGCGAAATCGGCTGTTTTTTACGGATTGTTTCTTGGCCAAGTTTCCCCCCGAAATTTCCCGTGAAATCAGCCGATTCTTCTAAGAATTTGCCCCTGAAAATCCTTCGAAATTTGACTTTTCTCCCGCAAAAATCCCGCGAAATCAGCCGATTTTTCCGCGAATTTGCCCCTGAAAATCCCGCGAAATTTTGCTTTTTTTTCCGCAAAATATCAGAAGCCCTGTATAGAGTAACCTGGACACTTGCCACTGGGTGAATGCACAAGCTATAAGTGTCTTAATAGTACTGTGTTCACCTTTGCAAGAAACGTGTACCTTAGAGTAATTAAAACTTCACATGAAAAGCTTGATAGTTGAAAGTGCACTGTTCACAGCATTTGCCTGTTTCAAGCATGTTATATATGGCTATTTTGAGAAAGGTTGTCGGAAAAAATGTGCATGCGACAATCTCGAAAGGTAATATGGGATATGATCAGTACACTGTTCCTGACACTGTAGCTGTCAAACCTACTTTTGTTGCTTTCATTTAGCACTCGCAAACGTATGTTCCATGGCCTCTTAAAGTGCCATTCTTTTAAATTTCTATGAAGAACAGTGAACTCAACCTTTTGCCTTGGGATTGTCGCAGGCACTTTTTCCGACAACCTTTCTCGAAATAGCTATATACATGTACTATTGGCAGGGCTTCTGATAGGTTGCGGAAGAAAAAGTCAAATTTCGCGGGATTTTTAGGGACAAATTCGCGGAAAAATTGGCTGATTTAGCCGGAATTTCACGAGAGTTTTCGGGGCAAACTTCATCAAAAAGCAATCGGTGAAAAAACGGCCGATTTTGTGGTTATTTTCAGGGCAAATTTAACTAGAAATCGATCGGTTTTGCACTGATCAGACCAGCATTTTTAACGTTTTTCTAACAGAGGTCATCATTAATTTTGCTCTTTCAACAACAATACGCTCCAGAAAAGAACCAGTGGCAAAGCCTTTAACTTCATGGCTAGTGCCCAGTTTTTCGCAACATAATCTATGCCTGGTAGTTTCGGAACGTTATTTGCACGTTTCAGTGACGAAGTTCCAAGATAAATCTGCAAGTTTACGGCAAGTAAATAGCCCCTATAGCTGAAATAAGTTTCAAATATGTTGTACAGACATGTATTTTATAAGATATCTACCAAATTTCGGGGTATTTTTTGTGTTTTTGTGAATTTCGCGGCATTTCGCGGATTTACGGTTCCGCGACGACGCGAGATATCAGAAGCCCTGTCTTGGAGTTTGAACTGGCATTCATTATATTCATTATATAACAGCCAATATTTTGCGACGCCACCACTGGTTTCCCCTCAACATGACGTCTGAGAACCGAGCACAGAAATTTCATACCGTCTCTACCCAGATCTGGTTAGTTCTCTGATTGGTTGATAATTTGCTTCATCCAATAATTAGAAGCACTGCCCAGATCTGGGTAATGTTGTGTCATCAGTATGGAATTCCTGCACTTGTTTCTGAGACATTTTTGTGGGGAAACCAGTGCTGGTGTCACAAAATGTTTTGATTGGCTTAGCCATCATGGTATATGAGCCATTATATCATGCTCTCCATATATGGTCATTGTACATGTACTTGTCAGTTTAAAATTGGAAGCTAGCTGAGATTTTTTTTCGAAGGATAGAATGGCACCCAAAGAAAATCGTTTCAATTCTTCAAATACTAGAAAATGCAATTTCATCGGGGGAAAAAAAAACAACCAAACAAAAAAGCCACAAAAGTTTGTTTAAAAGTTTATCCATGAAAAACACATGAAACTAAAATACCCCCACCAGCCACGAAAGAAGACAATTATTGTTTCTTAATGATCGCAAAGCCACTCGCCGATAGATACAGTTGTAACTGCAGCTTGTTTATCCAACATTTTAAAGGAGTATAAATCACTAGCAACTAGCTACAAATACAAGCTATGCAGCCATTCACTACAGCAATCCAGGCGTCAGTACACATATAGCTTCTTCTCTCGTCCAGCAAAACCAGGTGGCGGCTTCAAACAACTTCTTAACAAGCTTTGCATGAGTTTCTGAATGGCGACAGAGGGAATGGTAATCCTCCATTGTTCTTACTATTGTGACAGCACCGAAAATCCAAATTCACAGTAATTTCGAAGGCTTTACTTCAAAATTCTTTTTTTTCTCATTATCTGCAAGTTTTTAGCTGTCCTGTTGGGTAAAATCCAAGAATCCCAATGAGGTTTCAATAATGTTCATTGCTGTAATGTTTTGATTTTTCATTCATCCAGTCCGTTTTTAATAGAACAATTATTCCACTCGCGCTTGTTGAATATGAGATTATTATAGCCAACTCAGCGCCACGTGCCTCGTAGGCTATCTTCCATCTCATATCCAACGTGCACTCGTGGAATAATTGTTAATTATAATTAAATAATAATTATTTATGGGCAAAATTTTCAGTGGCTGTACTTTTATTCTTCTCGGTCTGAAACTGTTTTCTTCTTATTTTAGGTGGACTTCAGCATGCATATTTTGGAGATACAGAAAATTGAGAGTAGTAAGCCTCTTTTAGTAAGTCAGCTCTCAATTCTTCAGTAATTAACAATTGTTGGATTTGGCTTTCGTATCATCTGAAGAATTATGGAGTTCTCAGAGGATAACTATAAATTTACCGTTTGAGTTATATTGGTTGGTGTGTAGACTGTTGAAGACAAGGTTATATTGTATGTTAGCTTTGACAGTGACAACAGCATTCAAGTTTCATGACATTGCTTTTATTTTCTATCCAGTATTATAGTTAATGATATATTTCCTAAGGGTACATAAGTTTTTACAGCATAGGTAAGAACTCATACTATTTTAATACAATTTTGTAATATTCTGATGGTAACATGTTTTGTTTACTGAATGATAGTACACATTAAGGGCTAGACTTAACATAACATGTATTTTTAAATTATTTTCAGATAACGCTGACATGTGGTGATAAGCCATGTTATTTCCGAGTTTCTCAGCCACGAGACAGTATAGAGATAATTGCTCATATTTTGGCTTCACTAAAGTCCAACTTCCCAGCTGGCAACCCTGAGTAAGTACATGTACAGTGGAACCTCGATATAACGAGGTTTCATCATATAGAGGTTCTTTTCCATAAATTTTGCTATTACTGGGGTTAAAAAAATCATACCAAGGGTTTCATTATGTGGAGGTACAGTACAATATCAAGGTTAAACTTTACATGGAGTAGAAATTTTGTGGTCCTTCTGAAACAGACAAATATTATATTGCATTGTTATTACTAGTGTCTGTGCTCATTAACTTTAGGAAATGTATTCATGTTAATGGATTTTAATTAATACTAAGCTCCTTTTCCTTATCACTATACCTGTGGCGTTCACAAGGGGATGCTGTCAACGCTGTCTAAAGCGCAAAGTTACTAAATTTTGTTCAATGGGCTGCAAGCGCTGTGTCAAACGAATTTGTTTGGCATGCTTTCCCAACCACATCGGTGCCGTCTGAGATGCGTCACAAGGGCGCGAAATTCAAACTGCAAACTACAGATTGTGCATTGTAGTATATATTTGAATGATTTGGACTCAAGGCATTAGTGACATTTATTTTATTGTATAAAGGTTCTTTCTTGATAATTTTAACTGCTATTGTTCATGTTATAAAAAAATTAGAGACTTTTTTTCCCTTCTCATTCTCGAAGCATTTTAAATAAATAGTGATCATGGCTATTTTATAAATTTTGCAGATGTTTATCTTCCTCAAATTAGTTCCATGATTCACTGTTTGGAGTAATTGTAAGCTAGAATTAAAGATCATTCCTTGCTGAACATTTTTTGTCTTAAGTGTTTGCATTTTTCTTTGTAGTTTTCTAGATATAAGAAACTTTTTGAGGAAGGGTAGAAAATGAGTCTGTAGCTACTGCAGATCTAATTAGCTCCCGGGAATAAGGGGTCATGTTTCCTTGGTCTCCTGTGGGGCTTAAATGGTTAACAGTGTGGTGTTCCAAAAAGTAACTGTAACCCCCGAAAGGGATTTTTTCTGTACATTTTTTCTGTACATTTTTTTTTACTGAAGCTGGTTGCTGTCTTTAACTGAACATTGATGTTATTTTTTGTTGCGCTTCATAAGCCGACTTCTAAGGGTGGTATATGGTCCACCAGAGGAAAGTGATGAGCGGCAAGCACAAGTAACAACACTTGTAAATAACCTGCGAAATACAGAAGGAGACATTGAAACAGGACCATGTGGTGAGCATTGACCCTATCACTCTCAACCCTTTAAACCCTGAAATCAACCTGTAGATTCTCCTCACTGTTCTCCATGTTTCTATTGTTCTGTTTGAGAGAATTTGTTTAAATGATAAAACATCAAGACAGTTCATCATTGGCCATCATTTCATTCATTCTCTTCACCTGCACATTTGATATGACAGTGATATTGTTAAAAATAAGTTATTTGGTGTAATAATTTAATCCATGTCACTAGAGTGATACTGGTTTTTATTCCTGGGGATAAGGAATTGAATATATAATCCTGCTATTGTGTGTTTTCACATGACGTCATGGCAGCCATATTTGTGTCCCAAAACAATGAAACGGCGGCCATGTTTGTGTCCCAAACCAGTCCTCTGGGGGTTGAACTCTTTTCTTATGTAAACGCTTTCTTTTGTTCCAATAAATCTGCATAGATGCTGGCCACGTGAGTGAAAACACTCTATAAGCCATCCCTTTTTTTGTTATTGCTGGATACAGACAGTAGATAGTCAAGTTTGAGTAATGTGTATGTTCTGAAATAATTTATTCTGGTTTCCTTAGGTGGATTTACAAAAGTCTATGTTTCCATTTGTGACTTTTATGGACAGCCACATTTAGAAGAAGTTGTTTGGGTATGTCTTATTTTATCATCCGTCTATGCCTCTTTGTTCATTAACCCATTTGCCAGGGCTTCTGATATTTCGCGCGGTCGTGGATTCGCAAAGTTCAGGTATTTCTGCGAAATCCCGCGAAATTCCCAAAAAAACGTGAAATACCGCGAAATCTGCCAGAAATATTACCAAATACATGTTGGCAAAACATATCTAATACTTATCTTGGCTATTAGACCTGTGATATTCACCCCAAACGTCCAAATTTATCTTGAAACTTTGTCACTGCAATGAGTATTAAAACAACGTCCCAAAACTACCAGGCGTTTTTAGATGAACGTTGGGAAAAACTGGGCGCTAACCATAATGTTAATAGCCTTAGCATTCACTCATTTCTCGAGTGAACTGTTGTTGAAAGAGCAAATGATTATCCCTGTTAAAAAAACGTTAAACAATGCTGGTCATATAGACGCAAAATTGATCAATTTTAGCGTAATTTGCCCAAAAAATCCAGGGAAAAGTTTTTTACTGATTGTTTCTTGGCGAAGTTTCCCCCCGAAATTTCACCTGAAATCGGCCGATTTTTCTAAGAATTTGCCCCTGAAAATCCCGCGAAATTTTGCTTTTTTTTCCGCAAAATATCAGAAGCCCTGATTTGCCCCTGAACCACTCATAACCGCCCATGTGGATCCACATCCCTTCTACCTCTTGTGATGTCATCAGTTTTAATGGTCAAGCACAACTTTGTCCGCTACAAGTAACTTGTGCAGAGTGAAGAGATCTTTCAAACCATACCAGAATGAGCAGGTTTCAATCAAGGACACCCCAGAAAAAGGCAAAAAAACCATGTAACGTTGACCTGAAAATTTCCATGAAAATCTTGTTCCACTACTGACCTTACTATGTACTTTCCTTTCCTCTAATCCTAATATCCTAAGAGCTTTCCCAAAAACCTTTCCCACCAAAATGAAGCCTACTAAATCCCCAACCAAAAAAAAATGAGGCGAGAAAAGCGTATAAAGAGGGAGGAGAGAAAGTGAAAAGTAAAAGTCATGACTGTTGTGTCACTTTTAAGCCAAAAAACTATTTCAAACTTTTGCTTTCTGCCCATGCCCGAACTTCGCAAGCTGATATTTTGCATCTCGATCAGAAGGCCACAAGGTGTGCGACCTGTAGACGACTTTGTGCTAAGTTTTAGCTCTTTATAGCATGACAGCTTGATGACCAGAAAACTGCTCAACTAGCTTCAAAACGTGTTTTTCTGCCAAATTTCCAGAGGCAGATGAGGGGCATGGTTAAGTCAATAAGAGAATTCAATTGATTTGAAATAATTATGAAAGAGTATGAATTTTAGTGGTTAAATTAATGTATTGTTGTATCTTGTTTTTTTTTCCCTTTCTACAATTTAGGATATTGACACAATTTACTTATCACTTAATACCAAAGTACTGAACATCCAGGACTTTGACCACTTAGACCAAAAGTAAGTCAAAAGATTTTCATATTTTTCTTATGATAGAAATTAGTTGTCACATGTACGTGTATGCCACAGTTTGTCTTAAATTCTGAAATGCACAAAGGCTCGGTGTAGCCAGGTCTCATAAGATTGTCCTTTTTTCTCCATTTTAGGTCGTTAGATTAAGTAAGGCCTTTTACATAATGATATTTAATACAATTAAACTTATTGAGAATACAAGTTCCAAGGTTGATTACCACTTGTGTGCCTCTCAATTCTTGTTTTTTTTTTTTGTGAAAGCAATGTCAATAAAATTATTTGTTAGTTTTAAGGATACTTGCAACTTTAATGTTCAACATTAAGAATTTAATTCTTTCTGTTAAATATGGAACCTTTCAGGGATTTGGTTCCCATTATTTCAACACTGGAGTACAATGATTGGTTTACTAAAGTGACATGTGATTCATTCAAACTGGTAAGTGATATTCTCATTCTCATGCATGCATTGTTTATTTAAAGAATTCATAAAAAAAAGAAAAATTTTACAGGAAGCCATTGAAGAGCAGAACAGAGCTTTTGTTTGGCATGCAGTTAACTTTGTCAGTGTGTGGTCCAATGTATAATAAACAACAACGGGCCCAAGGTAGAGCCTTGAGCAACTCCAACAGATACTGCAGCTGGATCAGACTGGGTATTTGCCACAGCAGGTAACTAGGCTTCCAATGAACAAATTTTAAAGTAAACAACAGTGTCCTTTTTGTTTCAGGGATCTGAGGTCTGTGATGCAATTATAAGAGTCATCAAAAAATCATCGTCAATTGAAGAGTTAGTTTTGGATAATGTTGGGTTTGGAAGGTAATTTCTCTGGATAGTACGATTCAATTATTTATGTTTGCATGGGGCATTATACGGTAAACTTGAGGGCAAGTTGATTTATTGAAAAATATATTATTTAGATTTTTGATTTGTAGTCAATAATAAGTATATATATATAGTTTATACGACATATTATTGTAGCTATTTTTTTATTTTATTTTAATTTTTTTCCATTATTAATTATTAGATTTGTAAGTTAGACTTTCTGTTTTTTTTTCTTCTTTCCTTTTCCAAATTTGTTAATTAAATCGGAAGAGCCACACAGTGGAGATTTAATAAAGATACTGTACTATACTATACTGTACTGCTGTATAGATGTAGAGCACTTAAACCGCATTTATAGATGTATTGTCTTGCACAACAGAGCTGGGCTCTAATTAAACTGTTGACCCTAGTTTTTCCTTGTATATCCCCAATCTCCCAAGTCATTAACTTAAGGGCTTAGGGACTATGTACATTGTGAAACTCATTTCACACCTTAGAGAACATCCACAATAAAAAAATACCATTGATGTACATGTACAAAAAAGTACCACGTTTCCTTTTTTAAGGACATAATATTTCAGAGTTTAGATAATACATGTAGGATTTGGTAAATAGACTCAGAAGGACCTCTTTTAATGTGTTTTTGTAGTTTTAATTAAAAACCAGGTTGTAAAGTGGTTTCAACCATAATTAAATCAATGTGTGATCTTTGAAAAACTCTGACCCTTGTTTACTTCTCACACTTCACTTGCTAGTGGTGATAGAGTTTACCAGGAAATAAAAAGTGGCCCATCAGGGGCGGATCTAGGGGGAGGGTGGGAGGAGTGCACACCCCGCGGCTTTCTAACACAACTGGTATTCTGCGAAAAAATAAAATATTTGTGGTTTATTGGTGTTGAAGTAAAACATGAGACAAGGTTGATATGGTTGATATGTTGATGTGTATTCTCTGCAGTTCACATTATGTTATTGCCTAGTCAAAAGCCTTCTTTGTATTCGCTTTTAAAATTTGTTTATGTCACCAGTTGGTAACGCCATTCGTTAGTGGTGCACCCCCTACTAAGAAAAATCCTTGATCCGCCCCTGCACATGTAGCTATTGCCAGTGCAAATACTAACTAACAAATACTCTGTGTTGTTAAAGGGTATTGCTAAATACTAATACTTTGCTACAAATTCCTTTTAGAGATTACTGTCAAAAACTTGCCCTGGCTCTTACATCTAACCCCAAAACAGCTTTACATTCCTTGAGTTTGAATGGTAATGCTATTGAAGACAGAGGTATGTTTTGTAACAGAATCAAAATCATCCATAAAAAACAGTCTGCCCTAGTAGAGATTCATATAGTATTAAAAATGGTAGACGTCTGTCATGTTTCAGCACAATAATCTTCATGCCACTAAATAATATAATTATAAATCTCTCAGCTACATTACATAATTATATTGTGTCATCTACATTTCGTTATTTCTTTTTTTGGGTCGTTAAAATGCAAGGCAGCGTAATGGCAATAAAAATCAGGATGGTAGACCTGAAAGCCTCTATGAGAAAGAAATAATGCATTACTGTACGCATAGCAACAACAACAAAATCAAATAGCTTGTGCTGCATTACATCATTATCTTTTTGATACTGACTTCTGCAGTATTAAGTAAATCATTAAACGTTTGCTGTGTCTCTGTCTGATTTTTGTCTCCTTGATGTCAAGGTGTGATCCATTTATCTGGGGTGTTTAGCAAGCTCCCTCATGGCTTGGTGTCTCTTTCTCTCGCTGAGAATGGTATCACCCCCAAAGGTAATGCTGGATGTCTTGGAAACATGATAATAATGAACCTCTGTAATTTATATTACCCACACCCCAATATAACAACTGATTTTCTTTCCAGCTCACTGCACAATGTGTGGTAAGACTTAATATAACACATCCCTGCAGGGTTTGTACAGGTCATGGAAAACCTTGGAAGTCATGAAATGTAGCAGTTTCATTTTCCAGGCCTGGAAAGTCATGGAAATTTATTGTAGGGACGGGAAGTCATTGATAATTGAAGCTACATTTGTTATATTAGTTCGTGCACACTCCAAAACAAGGACAAAAAGATGTAATTAAACAGCTTTTAAAAATGGCACACATTTTTGTAGACACTAAAAAGTCATCTGTTAAACTGAGTTAGGTAAAAAAGGATAGCTTTAAAAGTTTCCATAAGTGAGAGCTACATGTGTATACCTAAAGTCATGCAAAACTGCAAAAGCTCATGCATAAAACTCACTGAAAGTCATGACATTTGAAGAGCTCAAAAGAGTAGGAACCCTGAAGGTGACTTGGGTAATAATAGTGACTTGGGTGACTAGGTTGACTTGGGTGACTTGCATAACTTGGTCAACTTGGGTTACTAGGGTGACAAGGGTGACTAGGGTGACTTGGATGACTTTGGTGACTAGGGTGACTAGAATGACGTCCGCGACTTGCATAAGTAGGGTGACTTGGGTGACTAGGGTGATTTGGGTGACCAGAGTGACTTAGGTGATTTGGGTGACTAAGGTGACTAGGGTGACTAGGGTGAAAGAGGGTCGTGTCTCATTTTCTAAGTGGTTTTCTGCTACTTATTCTCAGGAAAGTGATAGTTAGACTTTGTTAGGGTCTGGTCATTTGTTGTTTTATTCAAGTTGATTGTGATGTCAATATAATTTTCTGAGCTATTTTGTCATTTTTCCTTTACTTTTTTATTAATAATCTTAAGTCCTTTGTTATACATAACTTTAAGGGGCACAATATTAGTTTATCTAGATGTGCCCCTCTCCTCTCCTTTTAATATACAATGAAATTCAATTTAAGTGTTGTAACTTCTATTTTACGCATTTTATTTCCTTTGTAAATCTTTATCTGTTACTATATTATTTTTCTCAGTTATATTTACATAACTATGTATCAGCTAGGAATTGGAGGAATAAATAAAATAAAAAAATAAAATAAAATAAATAAAATAGATGTCAATGTACTTTGAAGAAGTTTTATTTGAATGGTCACACCAGAGGATTTCTTCCACAGACTCAAAACCAGTCAATACAGCATCATAAATAGTGTCATTTCTCCTCAACTGAGTATTTCATGCATTGGCACCTCAGTAAGAGCCAGTTATAGTACAGTATAACAAACATTTATAACACCATTTGAAAGTACTTCTTAAGAGTTTTCAGGGTCACATCAGGAGATTTGAACAACGTCACAATCATTGTCTCTATAATACCTTACATGATGCATAAGCGGGTTATAGTGATATTATCTCTGTACATCTTTCTGCAGGAGCAAGTTCACTTGGCCAGGCTTTAAAATCCAATAAATATAATGAAAGTTCTCTGCAGAGGTAAGTGAATTTGAAGATGCTGATCTTCACTTTAGACATCCTTTGTCTTTCCAGTCAAGACATGTTTGCAGTGCAGTTTTTACCTACGTTGCTGCTTGAAAGTTTTGTGATGCCCTTTTAACATGATTGTTTTATACAAACTTTTGACAACTTGGATAGTTTTCAGTAATGTAGATCAACTCAAATCGATGATGTCATGAAGGCAGACTTGTGCATTTAAGAGGGTTTCATTTTAAATTTTGATTTGTGGAAAACATGTCACGACGATATCAAAAACCTTGTCAAATCTTCACTGTTTTATGATTTTTTTTGGTGCCAGACTGGATCTCAGCAAAAATCCTTTCAAAGGAGAGGGAGTTGCAGTAAGTCAATGTTATGTTCATTATAGATAAAACGCTTTTCAGTGAAGCTGTATGCTTTTTCACCGACTGCCCCTTGCATCCTGCATCGGTAGGCTTTGCTTGTATTGTAAATTTTTTTATATCTTTTTTTGGGTTTATTCAGTTGGTTATAAGAATAATAATAATAAAATAATGCAGAAAGATTGCCATAAATTCACTGTCTTGAGATTTAGGATAATGTCACTTGCTCCTGAATCATGCCTGGCTGCCGAACCAGTGCATTCAAGCAATTTCTAGTCTTTGAATGTAAACTGACGTAATATTCACAGGTATTCTAGACTACATATAGGTTCCTTGTGTATTTTCCTTACACAACATATGCAGTGTTAGTGTGTAGGTCATTAGTTAAAGGCGACAGTTGACTCACTACCGTTCTTCATGGTACTTACATGTACAGTTGTATAAACCAACGATCTTTATTTATTTATTTCGTGACGTGTTTGTCTATTTATTTACTTTTTATTTAACAGTTAATGAATCTATATGGTTCTACGTTGATTTTCCAGGGATTGTGTGATTTTTTCGCCAAGCCAAACATTTTAACCTGTTTGGATCTGTCATCCACTGAATGTCCTCTTGATTTGGTAACTACATTCTATAATTTTATAATAAACCCTGCTGATCAGCTAATGCATGTGTACCGTTTTGCATGACAAAATACAATGAAAAAAAGAAAACAAAACAACGAAACAAATCATGACAAAACGAAACGAAAAATACGGACCAATTCCAAAAACAAAGCAAAAACAAACAAACAAAACAAATAAAGGCAGGGAAGTCTTTTCTTTTAAGATCGACGTTGAAGGATTTAGATATCTGGTGAAAGTTGGTGGTCATAGATCGGGAAATGTTTAAGGAAAAATTAAATTCTTCAAGGGCCGGGAAAAATCAGGACATTTAAATTTGAGTTAAAAAATTGAGATATTTTGGAAGAAAGGTCGGGGAAGAAGCCTTTCTGGCCTTTCAAGTTTATCTCAACAAATTATTATGTATATGTATTCCCTTAATGAAAAAGGCAAACTGTTGAAATGATAATCAGTGAGTACCTTTCATATGGGAGTCACCCCACCCGCAAAGTTGTCAATGGGGAGCTTAAGCAACGACGACGGCGACGTCAACGAGAACGGCAACAAAGCAGTAGGTTTAGATGGGCAGAACAACAACATTGCGCTTGCATCACGCCTTTTTGTACATGTCGTTGCCGTCACTGCACGACTACGACTTAAAAATGCCTAATTTCACGTGTTGAGGAGAACGTGAACACATGAGAACGACTTTGTTTTTCTTTTCTGAAACTTCGATGCAGTCTTAGAATTCAACCCCGGAAAAATTGGCAACATTTGACGGATTGAACGAGATGAAATAAGCGCGATAAAGTTTAAAGCAGCTGGAATTCACCTTTTAAGTGACGTTTTCGTAGCCGTAGTCGTCCTTATTATTTTATTAAGCTCCCTAATATCGACAGGGGCCGGGCTGGGAGACTTCCCCTGGCAATTATGAGCATGACGCGCGGGTACGTTCACAGGAAACAAAAGGAAAACAGAACCTAAAACAATTCCTAGCTGTTCAGTTGCCTAATTATTGTTAATGTAACTGGCAGCTTGAAATCTTAGCAACAGCCCTGCTGGGCGCAGGGTAAAATGTTATGAGACTCACAACTTTTAGATAGTATTTGCTGCCCTTAACTGTGTCAAATTGATTCGTGAAGAAATTTCAAAACATAAGTTTGCAAAGTTGTCGGTATTGATTAATAAGACTACAAAAATCCTAGCCTTGATTCTTCACATAGCATGTTTTTCTTTGTTTTCTTGTCTGCACAAATAATCAATGAGCATGAATTAAGCATAATCATGAACTGCCTCCCTACACTTCATTATTGGTAGTGCCTCTAGCTCTTGTCACTCCACCCTAACCTCTATAAATTTTAGTTTTGCCCCTACTGAACACTTAAGCATTTGAGGCATGAAAACGTATTGGTAATGTTCTAAACGTTTTTTTTAGCTATTTGGTGCTCTCATTAGAGGATGTGCTCAGCAGTTATCTTCCATCAAACTTGCTGGAAACAACTTTACCTCAAAGTAAGAAAACAAATTAACCCTCATCTTGGTTAACAATTCTTCTGTTTAAAACTACCTTCTCTAATGTTAGGAGAATGGAATATTTGGAGCAAAATTCATTTGAACATTAACTTTTTCCCTTTATTACTCATGTTGGTTCATGTATTCAATCCTTCTTTTGTCCACATGTCATAACAAAAAATTTCATTCCTAGTTCTGTGACTTGTGTGACTTCCACTTTTTATCTAGTTTGTTGGATGTTTACTTTAAAGACTGTTTGTCTTTTTCAAATTCACTCTTAATTTTGTGATACTAAGCGTAAATTTCAACAAATCCCCTTACCGTACAAGATGGTATAGATACTGTGCATGTACGTTCTCTTTCATTCAATTTGTTTCTGTGTATTTTCTATTTAGAAAAAGTAAAGATGCTGTTGTACCACCATCCTTTACACAGGTGGGATAACGAAGTTCCTTATGGTTTTCAAACAGAAAAAAAAAAAAAAAAAATTTCAAGGGTGCATTCCGTGTTATAATGTTTAAGAGCAGATGGTTTAATTGCGGGCTACCAGAGAAGCCAGCAGTCCTAATCTCCAGGTTGCTATTACGCATGATTGGCACGAATATAGCTAGCATTCGTTTGGACTTCAACTAGAAATGAGTAGAATACATAGAACGCAATCTAATCACGCGCATTTGGGATTTCTGAACTATCACGCGTAATATGATCACGCGTGTTTTGACCCTCTATCACGTTAAACTTACTCAAAGCACTAGCGTTGAAACAAGAGCAGTTTGAAACATGCCCGCACTACCTAATCTTTGGTTATTACTAGTATTAGAACCATGCGATGGAGACTAGCAGTTCCTGGGTCCACCCAAGGGCCATGAAAAGCTGGTTGCCAATTAACCCTTTTAATGCCGCTAATTGTGGGCAAATGAAAATTCGAATGGTAACACCATAGGCCTTGATTTGATTTGATTTTTGGCGTACAATCAGACCTTAAAATTAAAAATTAGAGGGTATCTCGTAATAACATGGCCTTGGAATGAAAGTGTTGACGAGATTGTAATGGTAACGAGGTTACTAGATAGAAAATGCCCTCATGAGGGTCTCTAACGTTTTGGCCAGAATATGTGGTCTTAATAGCAGGGTGACAGTGAGGTTGAGTTTCTTTGTCAGTGACTGATGGTCACTACTGGTGTCATTCGTATATATATTTTTTAGTTTTTCAGCAGTTCCCAGGCTCTAAAATTCTTAGATGTGTCTGACTGTAAATTGCACGCAGATGCTGTCAGGTAAGGTATCTTGTTTAAATCGAAGCTTTTGTATACTGGCAGTTAGATATAATCAAGTCGAAGTAAAGCTCCTTTAGGTGCTGCTACTGGTTTCCTTTGTAATTCTTTACAACATGCAGCTGACTAACATTTCCATGCTACATCCTGCCAAGAGTCAACCACTGATTACTAGTGCTCTTTCTAAGCAGCGTTTTAGCCTGATAAAGTGGGAAGTACAACCTTACTTCTCTTCTAAGCTCTTCGTGAGGGTGGTAACACCTTTGTTAATGCCTGAATTGAATTGCATTATGAAGTTCTAATCAGCAAGTAAAGTACAGCGTTTTTGAGAGAATGGTTTTAGTAAAAGCCTAATGTTTTGGCTTCTAGGGGACAATGACAGTACTCATGGCTGCTCTGTCCTACAGAACTTGGGTTAATCTTCATATTGGTGGGCTTATTATGAGTTGAATACAAAGTCGCTACCACAAATTTTATGAATGGCTGGAAACCTGGGCCATCATAGGGTCATAGGGTCATAACTCTGGAAAACGTGCTCGATGCTTGTTGCTCTTATTCATATTCCACCTACTTTTGAAATAACTCCTTTGTTTAAACCTCTTGTGATAAAATATTGTTGTTTAATTTCGATGCATCACTAAATTAGTTTTTTTTAACACTCTTATTTCTTAGAGCGATCCTTCAAGGACTACATGAGAACAGTGTCATTTCTGATGTTGAGGTCAACATAAGCAACAATGAAGTAAGTAATAAGCTATTTCAGAGTTGCCCCAAGCTTCTGTTTCAAAGCGAGGTTAAGTGCTCAGCCTTTGATATGAAAATGATTTTTTATTCTTATGCAAATAAAACTCATTTTCACAAGAATGGTTTTACACTTGGCCTGGTTGTGAAAGTGACAGTTTTTGGAACTCGGAAATAGCCTGTTAATAGTGTGAATCACCTTTCGCCTGAAATCTATCTTATTTTACGCGTTTTTTCAAATATGATGGCTACGATTGCCACAAAAAAGGAAAGTAATCAAAATACAGTCGTTTGATTAATTCTTGTATTATATCATGATGGTCAACAACAATTGTCATACAAACAAATTCCAAAACTGAGACCAACAATTTCAACGAAATCGAATATTTCGTTCGAATCGCTTGAACTTTATCACCGATTAAACGAGGTTACGTATTAAAAAGGTTGTTACGTATTCCCAGGGGGATCTCTCCCTCGTCCCTATTCAGAGAGGGTTTCCTTTATTTGGTGGCGACGGCGTCCCTTTGGCGCGGCGCTTGATGGTGTGATTTTCGTCTTAAGAACCAGTCTTCACTCTGATTTTTCACTACGCGTCTATAGTATAGTAGGGATCAGTTGGGCCTCTTTTTGGGCAGGAGTCTCGTTAAGGAAGGCAGGAATTCATGAACGCCCCTGATGTCATAGCGTTTTGTCTTTATCTTATGATTAAAATGCGGTAGATTCTTGGTTAAGATTAAGTCATGTGCTATTTTAAGGTGGACTAACCGGTTGGTGGTGGAGGTAAAACGATGGAGGTGTGGTGGTGGCAGTAGTGGTGGTGGTGGTGGTGCAGGAGGGAAAATAATAGAGATGTGGTTGTGGTGGTGGTTGGAAAACAATAGAAATGTGGTGGAGGTGTTGGAGGAGAAAAAACAGTAGAATGTGGTGGTGGTGGTAAAACAGTAGAAACTGGTAGTGGTGGTGGTGGCGGCAGGGGGAGTGAAAAATTGTTGTCCTTGGTATAAGCTAAAAGAGCTAGTTTCACGTCGTCTTCATTTAATAGGCGCGATTCGCGCACCATAAATCAGTAAACCGGAACCAGGAAAATTAAATGTCTGTAATGGACAATAACGGCAGCAGGAAATAGAACGCACATGATTACGTTACGACTCAGTGATTTTAAGTCACACGCGAGTTAGCGCTTGTTTTCTTCGACAACATGAGTCGGCAAATACTTGTAAAGCAAGACTTTCATCAACCTTAAAATAACTAGATAACCTGTCCAGCCGTTCGGCGTTCATGTATTCCTGCCCTCCTTAATGAGACTTCTGTCCAAACGAAAGGCCCAACCGGTCCGTACTAAACTACTCGCATCCGATATACGTAAAACACATCGGCCTGAAACAAATAGAAAATCACAGGTTCTTCCTTTCGTGTATTTTATTCTGTACCTCTAGCTGTTCCCATATATTCCCTGCGATCGCGGGTGAACGTTTCTTTTTTTCAGTGATCCAGCGATCCCAAAGATCGTTGCGATCTTATGAAAACAAGCCTCTATTTGATGTCTTGCAGTTAAGAGGTCCTGGAGCCAAAGCCATTTCAGATAACATATCCAAGCTTAAGTGTGTCAGTAGACTGGATATAAGCGATAATGGTGAGTATGAATAATAACCTGCAACGTAAGCCTTTCACTCCTAAAATTGGTCAAAGAAGGAAAAGCTCAGGAAAATTCACATTTCTTTTTATAAAATGTGTAGTTCCAGAAAATATGCATACTTCCCCCACGGAGGGCACTTTTGTTTTAGACCCCCACCCCCTTAGAATTTTCATTCCAGTTGGTGCCTGTCATTCCCACTTCGTTGGGTACCCCCTGGAAAGAACATTTCCGTCAAAAATACTCTTGCACTGTACTTATGTACACTTTACTTCTTCTTCCATCAAATTGGCCTTTTTTATGCTAGAGACGTTAAATTTGTCATGAGACGACTTAAACGTCTAGTGTAAAAACGGTAAATAAGACAGACGCATTTAACGTCTGACGACATAAACGTCTTGTGTTACGCACTTAACAGACAACTTCAACGCCTCAGACGTTAAATGCGTCTAATATTAAAACGGTACGCCTTAAACTGGGGCGTCCAACCCGTCCAGAAACGACTGGAAGGAGTCAGTGTTTCGTCTTTTTTCAGAAAAGTCTGTTTTTTGAATGTTTTCGTCTCCTTTTATGCGTCCCGTTATTGCACCAGACGACTTTAACTTTATACTCGCTGTTCTGGAAACTAGCCCGCCGCGCTCGTTAAATGCGTCTAAAGACGGCCATTGGCCTACTGCCAATGTATAGGTGTTTATGGGTGCCATTCTGCACGCCTCTTTACAGTACTTGACCTGTGTTGTTATGGCCTCCTTGAATGCTAATCGCTCCCTTTTCTCGTTTTAGGCTTTGAAGGAGATTTAGTCAAGATACTTGAGAAGCTGTCTTCCAACAAATCTCTTAGATATTTAAACTTAGGGCAGAATACAAAACACGCCAGGTAAGATATCAAAAAGCTCTGTTTTAAAGTTATCAGTATTAGTTAGCGTGCACCTAAGAATCTCACATAGTCAGCCGACACCCTCGCCTAATCAATACCAGCATTAGCCTGCGTGGCGTACGATTCTTCTGGAGTGTTTTCCTTTTGTGGTTCGTAAACTAAGAGACTCAACCGCGCGAATGCGGAACCGAGGACTACAAAAAACCCATCGTTTTCTGTTTCGACCTCGGTTCAGCTTTTGCGCGTCTTTAACTCTTACTTTGCGAACCACAAAACAAAACCCGTCAGCTACACGGGCTTGAGCAGCATTTATTGTTGAAAACTTTATAGTCACTAACAATTTAACTGTCGATAGATAGACTGTTATTTCAAAGTAAAATCATTGTCATTATTGTTCATATACAACTCTTTTTTGATTGAAAAGAAATTTTCAGTAGCAATTCTACACCTGTTATTTTATTACAGGAGTTACGCTGCTGTTATGGAAGCACTAGTTCAGCTTATTTCTGAGGAAAACTCGGTTTGTAATTCTTAATTGTATAAGAATTAGCAAACATAGGTTGCTAACATAACTATCACGGTACTTCAACTCCCTGCTCTTGTACCAATTTCCTATTATTAGATTCTTTTTTTTTTTCACTTAATGTAATGTAAAAGGTCAATGTCTATTGTTTTTCGTTCTTACGTTTTTCTGGAAAGGGAAACAAACTTGACTTATAGTCTTTCTTGTACCCCGTCTAAACTGTAAGCTAAGCTCGTGGGGCTGTTTTAAGGAGAGGAAACCAAGATATTACAACCCCCTCCCCTCCCCCACCCCAGAAAATATAAGGAGTGCCAGCATTCCATACTGAGATTTGTGGCAAAGTCTGCGCAACCGAAGTGGTCAGTGGTTTCCTTTGAGTGTCTTCGACCAATCCTTGTTAACCTGCTGATTCAAATGACATAAGGTGATGCCCAGTCTCCTTGTAGTGACAAATTTGGACTGCACCAGTCCTATAAAGGAAACCTGCTTTTAACGAAAATGTTAAATGTAATTCGCACGGAACCACTCACGGGGTCGGAAGAGCGCTTTACTGCAGAGTGGGAGTTCGTGGGTTTGTTCCTCAGGGCCAGACCAATATTCTATGTTTTCACTGTCACGCTATCAAACGTAAAAATGCAAACCAGTCAATACAGAATGTTCAGAATCTGGGAAATGAAAGAAGATGAATATACAAAAAGCCTCGCCAAGAATCTGGCGTAATTCGTATGCGAGATATTCGGAAAAAAGTTTTGACTAAATTTGTAAGGCTTTGTATGGAACCGCCATGTTGATGTCCCTTTGAGGGGCACAAATATGGCCGCCGGAAACCAACAGAAACATCTGTTTTTGAGTTTCCTACTTTGCGTGAATTTATCGCTTGATGAATTCATAAAGATTAAAGTAATATTTATTCTAAGATAAGGAATGTTTGGATAACAAAATCTCAAAAAATCAGTAATGTTTTTAACCCAGACAAGGACTTTCTCGGCCGCCAGCTAACTGCCGCGTCACTCAAAAGCCTGGAAATTCAGCTGTCTTCTATCGCAAAAAGACGAACCCTTTGAAACCTAAAATTTGTGTAAATAAAGGTTTTTAGGTGCTGTAATACCTCATGAAAGTAGAAACTCAAAAGAATTGATAATTTCTTAGTTTGAATTTCGGTGACGTCATGTGAAAACCCCTAATTCACGGTCTTAAAACAGCTAAGAAATGAAGGTACTACTTGTGCCCTGCCAACCGCTAGACATTCGCGTGGCTCAGACGACCACGTGGAATGGGTGTCCCGTCTCCCGTTGGAGTCGTGATGATAGTGTTCTAAGTTCGTATTTGGTGCTAAATACATTGACCCTCGAATAAAGCGCTTTTTGCTTACTTCTCCGTGTTTGTGTTTTTTTTAGCATCTAGAATCCATCTCCTTAGCTGAGTCTAAACTAAAACATGAACTCGACCCACTTCTGGATGCTCTTGGTACGAACGAAAGTCTGAAAGAACTTGATATCAGGTTAGGAAACTTATACTTCCTTTGTATTGTTTGACATCACATACGCTTTGACCCAGATTGACCCAACCGATCGATCATCGATTATAATCGGAGAAATATCTTTGTAAGAATTCCATTTATTTTTTTAACTGCGTGCAAGGCAAAGTAATATAAATTTAAGGTAATTTTTCCCAGAAAATGCACCTGCAATCAAATGTGAACGAAACAACCCTTAGAATTATACACAGACGTGGTGCTGTGTCTTAGCACACGACAGACATGTGAAATATATTAGAAAAGGGCTAAAAATGGATTACAGCCACATACTTCGTCTATTTCAATGAAAACATCAAAGGATTTTTTTCTTATTTGTCAACAATAGATGTTTTGGGGGGGCGGGGGGTTGGGTTGATAATCAATTGAACATTTTTCATAATCGATTACTGCATCGCTTAATGTTTTCAACTGATTATTTATCATAATCGATACCTCTAACATCTCAAGATTTTTCTTATGAATTCATTTGCTTTTTTAGCGGAAATCAAATGGGTGATGACGGTGCTCGGATCCTTGCCAAGGCCCTTCAGATCAACAGTAAACTCAGGTAAGAGCTGTTCACGGTGTTTTAGAACCATTTTGTGGCGTGGACCTACCGCTATTGGTTGCACTTGAACTTTTGTACCGGTAAATAGTTACGTATTTTGGCCAATCGTGAGGAGGTTAGTTCGTTCTTCTGTAGATAGCGGTGAATTCAAAAGTCTGAACGCGCTAAAAAGCTTCAAAGGAACTCGAAGGGACAAAGCCTAAAAGTATGTATTCGGACGTTTCAACGTGAGACGTAATACTGTAAATTTACAAACTACGTCTTACAGTGGAAGTACAATGGAACCACGCCTTACGGCCACCTCGTTATTACGGCTAGTTTTTTTCGGGCCGGCAAAACGGCCATACATTTCCTTATTAAAAAATAACAAAATCGATGGAAATCGATAACAAGCAATAATCTTGAGGTAAATATATTCTGAACACGACGATGCTATTTGGCAAGCAGCACCCATAAGACCCGCTTTAGCGTAACACATTTTATTTTTGATGTTTTCAGCAACTACTCCAGGCGCAGTCTTCACCAGATTCTATTTATTTGTTTCTTTCGTTTCCTGGTTTGTTTTAATAGAGCTTTACATGTCCATTCAATCCAGACGTAGTTCTTTCTTAATGCGACTCATCAAAATCATAAGAACACTGATTTTGTTCTTTGTCATGCTCCATATTTATGGGGTTGCTACCTAGCGACAATGAGTTTTTTCTGCCACTTTTGCAGTAGTATTTCTTTCCTAGTCATAACTGTAACAAAATTCTCAAATCTAATTGCCTATCAACTGCCCTGATTTCAGCCTCAATAGGACAGTTTTAGGACAGTACGCGTCGTGCCTAAGTAATTGGACAGTATGCGCCATCACGCGCGCGCTTAAATGACTTTTTTTTTTCACTGCTAGCAAAAAAATTTTTGAATTTCTTGTGTTTTGATCTAAAAAAGAGCCTGATACATCGCAAATTTGGTTAAAATTGTGATTAATTGGTAACAGAACCTCGTGTCGTCTAATTCGGTCTGTGATCATACTCGTGATTAAACAAATCGGACTCCCGCGACGCGGTCGTCCGATTTTGTTAATCACTCGTATGATTACAGACCGATTTGGACTCCACTCAGTGCTTTTACCTAGCCTGAATTTCATCGGAATTGCTTCGAGTCGTTTTCTCCTCTCAGCAATGTCTGAATCGACCAGCCATTAATGCCGTCCAGTGACGTTACTACTACCCGAAAACCGGGTAGCGATTTTGATTGGCTGGTTGTCTAAACATTCGCATAGTTAAGTATAATTATGAGAAATTTTAGCGGGATTGTCGCTTGATATTCAGCGGATCGCATCGGTGGCATACTTGCGTGGAGTTCAAGCATTTCGATAATGTTTATCGTAAACAGCAAAATTGCCCTTGCCTTCAAAACTGAATTGCTAAATTGAACTGCGAATGAAGAATCATTGCGAAGAGTTGGTAGGTTTTTCATTTAGAGATGCTTTGTGGTTTCCGCAGTGATTTTGTTTATGCGAAGTTTCTGAGACCAATGTCATCTCATTCGACCTTCTTGCTATTTTCAAGGTCAAGTGTAATGATTCTTGTTTTCTTGTTTTCTTTTTTCTTCGTTAAGGACCAAATAGCTTCTTTTCACTAAAGGAAATTGTTGTGTTCTTAAACTAAGTGTTCTGTGTGTGTAATTGTTTTATTGCGTGATTGCGACCGAGTTTGAATTACAACCGGTTCAGAGTACTGCGTGCAGTTGATAGTTTTAACGTTAAAGATGAATTACGATCGAAAAGAGTCAGTCAGCTGTTCTGAATCATGTAGACAATTCCAAACGATATTTCCTGGTTTGTCACTTAAAAATCGCGTTTAACTTTGTGCCTGAATTAAAGCAAAGGAGTAGTGCCATTAACGGCCGGTCGATTCAGGCGTTACTGAGGGAGTAATAACGACTGGAAGTAATCGGATGAAGTTTAGGCTATCCTGTTACCATTACTTATTATGAACTGTGCTTATGCTAAAAACTCAAACCAAAGAGAAATTCGTTCCTGTTAGTGCATTGTTCTTTTAGTATTGTATCAATTGAAGACATCGTGGTAATGTTGCACTTCTACCGAATAATGACTTAAGTCTTTTCCGATAATAATCGATAGTAATCGATAACAATCCTTAAAAATTATTATCGATTAACATCGGAAATCGGTATTCATGGTTCGTACAATCTTGAAAAGGTCTTGAATTTTAGTAGTCGTCTTGAAGAGTCCTTGAATTCTGTTAAGGTCCTTGAAAACTACTTGATTTCAATAAAAGGCCTTCAAAAGTCATTGAAATTCACTACCTTGTCTCCCCTAGACATCGGTTTTCTGTAAAATTAGTTTATTTCGCCGACAAAAATCGGGCTCATCCTACAGATCCATCGATCTAAGAAGTCCATCTGTCTACAGATCCGCCTATCCACAGATCCACCGATCTACGGATCCATCGATCTACCAAGCCATCGATCTTCAGATCCATCGATCTACAGATCCACCAATCTATAAATTCATCAATCTACAGATCTATCGATCTACGGATCCGTCGACCTACAGATCCATAGATCTACGGATCCATCGATTTATAGATCCATCGATCTATCAAGCCATCGATCTGCAAATCCGCCGATCCACAGATCCACCGCTCTACGGATCCATCGATCTACATATCCATCTTTCTACCAAGCCATCGATCTACAGATCCACCGATCTACAGATCTATCAATCTACGGATCCGTCGACGTACAGATCCATAGATCTACGGACCCATCGATTTATAGATCCATCGATCTACCAAGCCATCGATGTACAGATCCTCCGTCTTCCGATCCATCAATCTACACATACACCGATTTACAGATCTATTGATCTACAGATCCATCAGTCTCACATCCACCGATTTATAGATCCATCAATGTACAGATCCACCGATCAGGATATACAGAGCCACCGATCCACAGAATCATCGATCTACCGATCCATCAAACTACTAGATCCATCGATCTACAGATTCACTGATCTACCGATCCGTCGATCTACTGATCCATAGGTCTACGGATTCGTCGATTTACAGATCCATCGATTTACCAAGCCATCTATCTACATATCCATCGATATATCAAGCCATCGATCTACAGATCAATCGATCTACAGATCCATAAAGCTACCGTTTTATTAATCTACAGATCAACCGACTTGTAGATCCACTGATCTACAGATCCACCGATCTAGCGATCTACAGATCCACTTATCAAGTGATCTACCGATCCACCGATCTAGCGATCTACAGATCCACTTATCAAGTGATCTACCGATCTAGCGATCTACAGATCCACCGATCTAGCGATCTACAGATCCATAGATCTAGTGATCTACAGCCCCACCGTTCTAGTGATCTACCGATCCACCGATCTAGCGATCTACAGATCCACCGATCTACAGATCAACCGATCTAGCGATCTACAGATCCACCGATCTAGCGATCTACAGATCCATAGATCTAGTGATCTACAGCTCCACCGTTCTAGCGATCTACAGATCCACTTATCAAGTGATCTACCGATCCACCGATCTAGC